AAAAAAAAAAAGAGAAGAAAAGCAGCCAGTAAAAATGGCCTGTAATTCATTTGTGCTAATAAAGTTGCAATAAAGAGGGTACATTTTTGAAAAAATGGAAATTTGAAACCCTTTCACTTTCAAGACAACAGGAAATTCGTGCTAAACGGCATCATATTAATTAAACAAATATTGTAGGCCAGCTATTAAAATGTATTCAGCAGGAGCGGTTTGTTAACTGGGCAAGACCGGCGGTGCCGGTCAGATTTTTGTCAACTGAACTGTTGACTAGAAGTTTATTGCTGATGACGATTTTCTTTCAGTTTTAAGTAAATCCAAACAAACGTGTATCAACATTTAAAAACACCTTGCCGATTTGAAGGCGCTCAAATAGACAAGTGGGATTCACTGCTGTTTTGTCGCGACATAACCTCATTCCTTCACGTTTGTTATCGCACCGGCTTGTAACTTTAAATTGTCTCCCGTCAAACCGTCACGTCGCGGAACTTCGTACTACGTACGAGGCCAAACACACGGCGGGCTAGCAATGACGTCAGTCCCATGGACAAATCCATCGTCAGCCCACATAGCGATTAGTACATCCCTTAATTGCCAGATTGGCCTCTTTGTAGCTTACAAAATTAAGAATGAGACTATCTTGAGCAGCACAGACACATGTATTATATTATCAGCAAAAACATGTATTTATCATTCAGCCTTTCTCTAACTACTATCAGAATATTTATTGTCAGCATGGCACTACTCTTTTTTGTTTATTGACTTTTTAACCACCTATAGTTCCTGTTTGGCATTTACTCATCGTTTTCTCCCCACTAATAACTTAACCTGGCCCTTAGAAGTCTGGCCGGCGAAAGAAGGAATCGTCTAGTGAAGATATATATAAGGAAAATTTTAACGAGGAGCGATAGACACTCGACTGCCAGAGTCTGGGCATGGGCCGAAAACCCCCGCCCTTCCCTACCCTTTTCAACCCTCACCCCAGCTAGACACCAAGTTCTATAATTAGCATTTGACACACTTCCCCACTTTGTTACAACACAGTG